TGATCTAGAGCTTTATGGAGCACTGTGAATCTCACACCTATAATGAGGAAAAAACTAAGTCAAAGACATCATACTCTTATTCACTTAGAGAGGTTCAATATCAGGAAGGAACATCAACTGGGGAAAGGTGGTGCCTGGTTACCAGTAGGTCACACAGGCTTCACACACATTGTGAAAATTCAAGTTGTTTATTCTTGATTTATGTGAGTTTTTGTTTGTTATTTTGGGGGTGGGGGTTGTTTCAGTTTTCTGAGACATAGGGTCTTACTTTGCAATTCTTGCTGGCCTGATAGGTAGATCAGGTTGGCCTTGTACTGAATGCTGGGATTAAAAGTATGTGCCACTATTCCTGATGATGTATGTTTTTTTCTGAAGGTATGTTGTATTTTTAAAAAGTATTCTTTTTAGAGCTATCCATATTGGATATTTGAGATTTAGTTTACTCCTTTTAACTATGTCATTTGTGAACAGACCACCATTCCCTTTTGGATTTACTGTAGGTTGTCTTCAGCTTTCCTTTGTTACAAATAGTGTGTGTGTGTGTGTGTGTGTGTGTGTGTGTGTGTGTGTTTGTGTGGTGGTTGTGCCTAGGGTCTCATGTATGCTAAATACTACTGACTATACCGTCTAATAATCATTGCCACAATTTTTTGTCGGTAGTTTCTCTGTGGTTTGTGCTCTTCTTCACTCTACTGAATGCAGTGTCCTTCAAATAGCTTGTTGGGAGTACTGGACATTTTTATTCTGTATTCTTACCACTTGGTCCTCTCAGGCATTTTGCTGATTTTATGGACATAAAATAGTATTTCCTTGATGTTTCAATTTGTATTATCTGATAAGTAGTAATGTTTGGTCTTTCTACATATATAGGCCATAAGAATTTCCTTTTGGGTGCTTCTTTTTTAAAATTTAGGAAATATTTCATTTTCAATGCATATTTTTATGATGATCAGTTTTCCTTTTTTCTTGGTTTATACGTAGTTGGCATCCATTCAAAAAGTCCATATAGTCATAAAGATTATTCACCTTAGTGATCATTAAAACGTTATATAGAATTTCAGCTATATATTTTACAATGAATGATTCAGTCTTCTCAAATATTTTTTGCCATCACATCTTACCCTGTTGTTGCTTGCCAGCCATTACTCCTCACTTTATTCAAGCATCTCCCATCCCCTCCCCTTGGAGATGAAAAAATGGTGATAATATGGGAGTGGGAGAATAAGAAATGAAAAATGAGTAAAAATTTGGCACAGTTCTATAAAACTGAAATAGCCATGTGTAAAGCACTTAGAAGTATTCTCATGTCCCTTTTCGGGTTTACTTTTTATTTGAAATACATTTTAGTTTTATCATTGTAGAACCAAAGACCAATTACGGTATTTAGTTGTTTGTGCTGCAGGTGCTTGCCCTGATGAGTTGTTCATGGGAGGTTCTGGTGGTGCCTCTTACCACCTTGATTCTTGAGGCAGTTCTATGCCTCTGTTACTTTGAAGAGCACTGTATTAACAGTTGAAGACTTCTTGAGCTGATGATGCTCATTGATTAGTGCTTTTAAAAAAAAAAAACATTATTTAGTGTGTACATTAGAGCTTTTTAAAATCTCACAGAGAGTTCTGAAATTGATAAATTGAGGTTTTGTGCTAATTCTTCCTGGATTGTGTGTTCTCCCTCATTTGTGGCTCTTAGCACCAAATCCTTGTATGTAAGTATATATCCTGATGTAACTACAAGAGCCAGGAAAATGGAAAGAAGCCATGGAGGTAAAGGGAAAGAAGGAGTCTGAGAGAAAAGGGTAGTAGGAGACAGGTGTTGCCAAGGAGGAAGTGGATAAAATGGAGGTATTTAACTGGGAGGGAAGAGAGAGGGTTATATAAAGAACAGGGGTAAAGGGGAAGAAATAGCTCAAGAGAGGAGGAATCATAGGAGACAGGTATTATCAAGGGGGAAATGGGGTACTTTTAACTGGGGAGGGAGGATGGACAATTCAGTAGGGAAAGAGGGAGGGAGAGAAGGAGAGAGATATGCTTAGGTGGTGTGAAAAAGCAGGAAAATGTGTTAGTAATACTCAACATTCTTTACTGACTTAAATTAAAATAAAACAAAATAAAATAAAATTGATTTAAATTCTAGAAATTGTGTTGTTCCTTGTGAAATTGTGCTGTGTAGCACCTCTCCCAAAGATTCATACTAATAGAATATGCAATAACACTGTGTGCTAGAGATGACAGTCAAAATTTTATTTTAAGATTTATTCTTGCTTTTTTAATTATGTGTATGTATGTGGTATGTGCACTTGAGTGAAGATACCCCAGGAGACCAGAAGTGTAGAATCTCCTGAGCTAGAATTATAAGCAGTAGTGAGCTGCCAGGTGTTGGTGCTGGGAATTGAACTTGAGTCCTCTGCAAGAGCAGCATGTGTCCTTTTTTTTTCTTTAAGATTTATTTATTTATTTATTATTTATTTATTTATTTGGGCATAGTGGTGGCTGCAGAGGCCAGAAGAGGGTACTGGATCCCCTAGAACTGGAGTTACAGGAAACTGTAAGCCACCATGTATGTGCTGGACACAAACCAACCGGGTCCTCTGCAAAAGCAGTACTTGGCCCTTTTCTTTCCTTTGTTTTTGTTACTACTTGTGCATATGTGTGTGTGTGTGTTTATGTGCAAGTGCCTACAGAGGCCAGAAGAGGGCATTAGATCCTTTTGAAGTGGAGTTGCAGGCAACTGTGAGTCACCATGTGGATGCTGGGCACCAAACCTGGGTCTTTTGCAAGAGCCGTATGTGCTCTTAACCACTGAGCCATCTTGCAAACTCCCAGCCAAGATTTGTTTTTACCATGGACAGAAGTCATACATTCTTCTGTTGGCACTAGTCCTACTTAAGGCAATAGGGAAGAAATGCTGTGAAAATGTGGGCCAAGGTATACATGAGGAAGGTTCTCGACCTCAAAGACTATAACACTTGAAAGTAGCGAAGGAACACCAGGCCTTGTTACTACTGCCATAACTCGCTAAAGTTAAGTTAGAAAGCACCATTCACATCATCTCCTTTTATCCCAGATGAATCTACCACAGATTTGTGTGTATGTGTACATGCATGGGAACACAGTTTTGAGGTTCTAAGGTCACAGAAATGTCAAAGCACCAGTTAGGGAATCATCAAGATGACTCAGCCAATAAGGGTACTTGCCACCAAGTCTGAGGAACTGAAGCCACATGGTAGGAGGAGAAAACTCCTACAAGTTGTTCTCTGTCCTCCACATCTGCACTATGGCACGTGTGTGTGCATGCACACACACACTAAATGTAATTAAAATTTTTTGAAAGGCTCTAAAACAATACAGGGAGGTTTTGTGAAGAAACTTGTATTCTCTGGCCGTTAATTTTGAAGTGATAATTTTTAATTTTTTTTAGTCTTTTTGAGACAGGGTCTCCCTGTAGTCTCAGCTGGCCTGGAACTCACTATGAAGACCAGGCTGGCCTTGAACTCACAGAGATCTGCCTGCCTGTGCCTCTGCTTCCTAAGTGCTGAAACTAAAGGCATGTGCCCCCATGCCCAGCTTGAAGTGATAATTTAAAAACCTTCCAGTATAGAATCCCAAGTCAATTAGGGCCTTTAAAAAAAAAAGATTTTGTTGCTCTTTTCAATTTTAAAAATAAGTTTATTTGTATTTGTGTTGAGGGTGTGATGCCACAGTGATATGTGGACATTGGAGGACAGCTGGTGAGAGTTGGTTCTCTCCTACCATGGCTTGAGGGCAAGTGTAAACCACCTTTTCCTGCTGAGCCATCTCACTGGCCTCAGTGAATGCTTTTATATGGAAATTCTTGAGATTTTCAAGAAACTATATTTGGCTTTGTGCAAACGTAAATACTTTTAAATGAAAATGGATAAACGGATAATTCATAATTTAGCTAATTATTCTTTCCTGTTATGAATATAAACCCAAGATTGTAAGACATACAATTTGCCTTTCATCAGAGCATGATACTGTTTTGATTTTCCTTTAAACAATTTAACTGAGAGTTTCCATATTTCCCTATTGATTTGAAAATGGTAAGGAGAATTATTTCCTGATTTGTTGTTTACATTTTTTGACTTAATCTTCCAGCTATATCAGCATTTATTTCTATGAGCTACAAAATATTTTCATATTCTAAAGTATTAATCTAACCCCGCCCACAAAAACCCTCTCAGAATTTGTAGAAATAACAAGTCTCTGAGTGCTGACTTAGACTTCATATTTTTATATTTTATAAATAAGGACTTTTGTTTTCCTAAGTACCATACCACTAATATGCTTAAAGCATTATTAATAATTCCAGAAATATATGTGTCAGATTTTCCTCATTGTCTCAAAAACCTTGGCCTTTGCTTATTTTGTCTCTTATTCTATAATAGTTTCAAACTTCCCCACGTTCCTTGACTTTTTCATGTGATGGATTTATTGGTGAAACCAGTCTTTTGCCCTGTAGAATATTCTATCAGGGTTTGACTGATTTACTCCACAACTGGGTCCAGTGTCCTCAGAATTCCTGTAAAACTGGTAGTTAGAGCAAAAGGCTAATTTGATGAGAGGCTAGCTTTCTTTTCCTTTCCTTTTCCTCCTTCCATAAGGGCCTTACTCTTACGAACTTAGTGTATCACATCATGAGAAGTATGCCGTCTGGTTGGCTCTATTCCATTGATACTAAGATGGCTGTATGAATCCTATCGGTATACCATTTATTGGGAAGCAGTCTGGTACCTGGTTAGCTGAGTAGAAATCTGAAATGCATTTCAATAATGTGGGTTTTGTCTTTCAATTTAGGTCTTCAGAGTAAAATTTAATAAAAAGTACTAATATGTGTTATACTATATATTATCTGAAGAAGTTTTAGTTTTTGAACTTGTTTTTAGAGTGGTAAGAGATTCAGTGTAATTTTAATGTTATTTAAAGTTGCTGTTAAAAAACTGTGCGGGGAAAGCTTACTTGTTTTTCCTTCATTACTTTCAGCTCCATTTACCTCTTAATTCTCCTTTGCCTGGAAGTGAATTGACCAAGGAACCTTTTCGTTGGGACCAGAGACTGTTTGCATTAGTGTTGCGGTTGCCTGGTACCATGTCAGTAGAATCAGAACAGTTGACAGGCGTGCCTTTAGATGACTCTGCTATCACACCAATGTGTGAAGTGACAGGAGGTAAGTTTTTTATTGCTGCTAGTAATTCAGTGACTTAATGTGCTAAAATCTACAGAGATCACCAGATTCAGAAATGTTATAGAATTATTTTCTTGTGAGCAGTGTTACGAGAAGCAATTTATTATCCCTGATGAGATATGCTTGATTGAGTGAAGTTTTCCCTAGAGGCAAGAATTGGGTAGACAGGTTAGAGAACAGGGCAGATTGACTAGCCTCCGAGTTGTGAACAGCAGCGAGACTCTTCGCAGACCTTCTATGACAGGGAATTGGTTAATAGGTAGATGGACTTCATGTAGGAAAGTATTGAATGCTGGTGTTCCATGTTTTAGACCTTTAGTAATGAGTAAATCATACATGGGGTCTTTGCTTTCATGAAACATGTTAGTTTTTACCTTAGAAATTTGATATTAAATGTCTGAATTTGTCATCCCAATGTTGACCTGTCAGGGGCCTCCAGCCATACCCCAGACACATTTAGTACTCTTGAGTCCATTGTAGCCTACCTACTTAAGACAAAATACAAGTTCCAATTAATATTTTACTTCTGTGGGTTATCAGAATCTATGAAAGGATCATCCTTCTATGTGGATTTGTGAAATAGAAAAGTAAGGAAATTGTTATCTACATTATTAGATGCTCCTATTTTAATGCCTTCATAATTTAGTTAAAAGCATTTTTGGTGTTACCAGGTAATTAATAAATACTTTGCCACATGATTATACACTGGGACTACACCAAGAACAACAGAATGCTTGCATGTTTGGACTAGGTGACAGATAATAATGAGTATTTTAGAGAGCACTGCCTACTATGAAGAATAATTTAGAATGTGGAGTTGAGTAATGAGGTTGGAAATGAGTATTATTTGGTAAATTTTCTACGGTGACGTTTTCAGACCTGAAAAATAAAATGAACCACAGGAAGATCTAGAAAGAGGAAAGGACATATACACATGTATTTGGAAACAGCAGGGAGGCACATGTGCCTTGAGCTTACATGTAGAAGAGTAGAGAGGTAGGCAGGGCCAAATACTGCTCATTTGCTGAGTGTGGAAAGCCATTGAATAGTGAGTGTTTCATAAGGCGTGATGTCAGATTTCTATTTCTTGATGATCAGCTTTTCAGTGAGAATATGTTGTACAGTGACTAAATGGGAAGCAGTGCCTGGCATGGTACATACCTTCAATTCCAGCAGAGACAGAGGCAGGTGGATCTCTGAGATTAAGGCCAGCCTGGTCTACATAGTGAGCCGTACTGGGGCTACAGGGAGATCCAGACTCAAAAAAATCAAACAAAAGAAAGCAAATAGCAAGACCAGTAAGAGACAGTAGTGCCTGGGTATAGTGCCAGATTTGGAGGGGTAGACTGTCAGGTGCAAAGGAGAACCAAGGAGTAGGGCAAAGAGACCAGAAGGAACCAAGAATGAGTCCCAGGTAATTCATTTGTCCTGCATCACTAGAGATGAGTTGCAGTGCTGTGAATTCACTTATGCACACTGGGGAAAAGCAGACTTGGGGATGATCACAAGTTAAAAGTCATCTAATAGCATAAATATGCTATTCAAAATATCCAGGGTAAGGCCATTTTATAAAAATGACTTACAAATTTTCCTGGATTGAACTTTCTTTGTCTCTTTGGCTTGTTATCTATCTCAGAAATTTCTTTTGCCTCTTATTTTACTAAGATGCTAATGCTGATTTCAGATTTCATCATATTTAGTTTGACTCTTGTCTTTATGGCACTAAAGAACCAAAAGTAATCCAATCTCTTGATTTGAACGTGTGTGATAATAATGTACTTTGTTTTCTCAGTTATAATTAATGATTCCAGAGACTTTATGCATTAGACCAAAATATCATATATCATAAGGAATGAGCTTTAATCTAGACAATAAGCATAAGAGGAACTTACATAGAATAAGGCTTACTTTGTAAGGACAAAAAATGACTTTTTTAGCTAGTTTCAAAATAATTAATGGATTTTTGTTTGTCAAATAATTTGTTCATTATCTCAAGTCTGTAAAAATCTAACAGTTTTATTTCATACTAAGTTTATAACTTGGGTTGCTTATATTTTCTAATCAATTAATGACATAGCTTGGGGAATAGATAGAAATACCACAGTTCTAATTAAAAAAAATTTTTTAATGGTATTTGGGAAGGCACTTTAGTTTCATGATGTGTACCATACACATATTTATATACCCTCTGAATAATTTATATTTAAAAGATGGCTAGCCTTTCAATATGTTGTTTTGTGTATATGATTAAAACTGGCTTAGCCGGGTTTGGTGGCACACGCCTTTGATCCCAGCACTTGGGAGGCAGAGGCAGGTGGATCTCTGTGAGTTTGAGGCCAGCCTGACCTCTACATAGCAAGTTCCAGGCCAGCTGAGGCTACAGGGAGACCCTGTCTCAAAACAAAACAAAACAAAACAAAAAAAATGGTTTAGAGAAAAGTGGAATTTAGTCATCTTTTTCAAATACTGTATTGACTTCAAATTAATGTGTAATATTCAGCATACAAAGTTTATCCAGAGTGAAGTTTTTGGTGCTTAGTATTACAATGCCTTGGTTTGAATCTTGGCTATATCAGTGTTACACTTTGCTAAGATAGCCTCCCTGTACCTTGGTTTTCCCGTTTGTAAAATGAAGAAATTGTTGTTACTTAAGTCTCTCTCTCCCCCTCCCCCTCCCCTCCCCTCTCCATCTCCATCTCCCTCTCCTCCCCCATGTGTATGTGTATGTTTGTGTGTGTACGTGCTTGTACGATGGGAATTGAACCCAGGGCCTTGGATATTTTAGGCATATATTCTACCACTAAGTTACATTCCTAGCCCCAGGATTACATAAATTAATATGATCAAATTGATTAGAATACTGCCAGACAAATAGATATTTAGTAATTGGTAGGTATTTTTATGATTATGATCATTGTTATTATGTTCAGGTAAGTTGATATAATCTAATACTTGTTTTTCTAATGCTGATATTGAGGATTTTAATCACTACTGCCTATTATTCTCTTTTCTAAGTAGCCTTTACAAACCAGGATAGTGGCTTGTAAAGGTAATGGCTTGTAAATGGCTTGATGAGGGTAATTTGGTTTGTAAGATATGATGTAATTTGTGTTCTGAAATAGTTGAATTTGTTTAAGAGTAGGACTCCATATTGAACTTCTTACAAATAACATTGCAAGATATTTGGTTGTTTTGTTCAGTGTTTTTGTGTTGATCTGGAACAGTACTATACAATAGAAATATGATTCAAATTCCATTAATTATGAAAGGCATAACAACATTAGAAAGAAACCTTTGAATTAATGTTAATGGCATTTTATTTAAGTCAATAAATATATCTAAATACTTGATTTCAGTATCAAATTGGTACCTGAAAACTAATGAGATATTTTTTTTATTCATATTATATCTACAAAACTCAGGCATATAATTTATACTTACTATACACCTCAAGTTGGATTACTCATATTATGGTTTGCAATAGTCATAATGTGTCTGGTAGCTACAGTATTAGGCAGCTAAGTTTTTTTTTTTTTCTTAATTCCTATTTAAGCCAGGTGTGATGACGTATACCCGTAACCCCAGCCTTTGAGAGAGTAAGACAGTCTGAGCTGGACAGCAAGACCCCCTGCCTCCCCAATACCCTATTCAAAAGATGTTTTCACTAGTATTTTTAATATTATATTTACATGCTTATAAATTAAAGTGTTGTGCATTAAAATATACCAAATGATAAAATAGTATGATAAGCTAGTATATGTTACTTTCTTGTTGCTGTGATTAAAAACCTAATAAGGGGCTGGAGAGATGGCTCAGCGGCTAAGAACACTGGTTGTTCTTGCAGAAGACCCGGGTTTGAATCCCAGCACCCACATGGCAGCTAACAACTGTCTGTAACTCTAGTCCCAGGGGATCCGACAGCTTCTTCTGACCTCCGTGGGCATTGCATGACACGGGTGTACTTACTACATTCAGGCAATATGCATACACATAAAATAAAAATAATAAATAAAATTTTTTTAAAATCTAAAAAAAAATAAAAACCTAATAAACAACTTAAGCAAGGGTGAGTTAATTTTGAATGATGGTTTGATAGTGCAGAACATCATGACAGGGAAGTCATGGCAGTAGCAGCGTAAGGCAGCTGGTCACATTGCATCTGCATTCAGGAAGGGGAGTGTGATGAATATTTGTGCTCAGCGAGCTTTCTCCTTTTTATGCATCATTCCATAGAATGATGTTACCACATTTATGGTGGGCCTTCCTAATTTGGAAGATGTCTCTTAAACATGCCCAGAAATTTGTTTCCATGGTGATTCCAAATCCCCTTAAATTGACAAGATGATCATCACAGTAGGAAGTTCTCAAGTGTATATATATATATATATATATGGATGAAATTCAGTATAATATATGCTACCATCTGTATGTTAAAATGCAAATAGTTAAAATATTCAGTGACTGTCAGGAGACTAGTTAAGTAATTATTGTCTGTTGTATGCTTAGCATACGTTTTAGGGATAATACTTTTGTTAAGAAAAATATTTGGGAGAATTTCTGCTAGATGTGATTGTACACATATGTCAAAGGCTAACAGTTGAATATAGTACTTTATAAAGGGGAGAAAGTTTGAATATTTGATGTTTTCCCCCTTTTGTGATTTGCTCAATCCAAAGTTGCTGTTCTATTTACCTGTAGTTAGAAGAAAACACTTGCATACTCACAATAAGAGATTGTTGATTAGAAATTATTTTTGTTCATTTCTTCCTTAAAATTATAAGATGTCAGCCTTTACCATTGAATTTCTGTTAGAAAGTCTACTGTAGTTGGAAGGTAGGATTCTTACAACTAACTGTTTGCCTCATTCTTTTTCATCTCAGGCCGCTCATACTCTGTATGTTCTCCAAGAATGCTTAACCAGTGTCTGGAGTCCTTGGTGCAGAAAGTGCAAAGTGGGGTGGTAATAAATTTTGAAAAGGCAGGACCAGATCCTTCCCCTGTAGAAGGTATTGTTGTATTTTTCTTTCAGACATTCTAAGCTTGATTTATAAATTATTCTTATACACACACATATATACATGTACATATACATATTATGGCCTAAAGATGAACAAGATTAGCTTTGTTACCATGATATAATTGCTGTTGGTAAAGAAGGGAAGATCATAGGAATGTCAGAATAAACAGTAGTGGTTCAGGAACGGTACCTTTTTTATAATAAAGATTTAGCCTAATCTTTTTGAGAACCAAGTATCTTTTAAAGTTGTTTATAGATGAGAAAACTACATTTTCTTTGCTCGCCAGCATATTTGCTTACTTAATTTTTTAGTTACTTTTGTTCTAGAGATCAAGTCAATGGGGACATAATCGTTTGTGTAGGGCCCCAAATGAGGAACTAGCCCTTGCTATGGAGCTTGACTTTTTTTCAAAAAGATTTCATGATTTTTTTGTTTTATGTGTTTGAGTGTTCCTGTATGTATATAACCTGTGTTGTGCAGTGCCTGCAGAGGTCAGCAGAGGGTGTCAGATCCCCTGCAACTGGAGTTACAGATGGTTAGCCACGATGTGGGTGTTGGGATTCAAACCTGGGCAGCCAGTGCTTTTGACCTCTGAGCCATCTCCTGACCTTGATTCTTTAAAAACTGAGCTTGAAAAAAAAAAAACCACAACTTGAGCTTGGCCTCACCTGACTATTCTCAACTTGGTGTCCATAAATTATATGCAATAGCCGGTGGGTCTAAGGAGTTACACTGGATCCCATAGACAGCTTATAGCTGAGACTTTCTGCATTCTCCTTAACTTCAGAATTAGAACATCATTACTCAGACTTTGTATAGGTGATCTGCTAGAGGACTGGGAAAAGAGCAAGGTCATTGAGGTGAGTCAGTGCAGCATGAGAGCTGGTAGAGGGAAGGAGCAGAAGACAGTAGCACTAAATGGAATCATTTTGTCTACTTTAAATCAAACACATTTTAAAGGTTGTTAGGATGTATTTGCTTTACAGTTATTTTATGCTCAGACTTAGACAATGTTTATTGAATTGTTGGAAAGAGCTGCTATTTTACTAGATTTATTTTAGAATAAAGGAAGTGCTTTGGAGCTCTACATTTGACTACAAAAATGCCCTACGATAAGCAATACTTAAATACTACTTACTATGTGCCTGACACTATTTCTGACAGTTTGATAAACAGGAATGAAGAACTCAAAGTGAGTGCTTGTCCTTTTCATCTGGCAGGGAAAGCATTTCATTTGTTAGATAGATACTCCCCATAAAGTATGTTTTACATTTTCTGCTTGGGTGAGCAAAAAGTGAATACAAGGTATAATTTATTTATTTTTTTCTTTAATGTTATATGTGTTCTTTGTCCTTATTTTGTTGCTATAGATGGCCAGCCAGATATATCAAGGCCTTTTGGATCTCAGCCTTGGCATAGTTGTCACAAACTCATATATGTCAGGCCAAATCCTAAAACTGGGGTTCCTATAGGCCATTGGCCTGTTCCAGAATCTTTTTGGCCAGATCAGAATTCTCCAACACTAGTAAGTACCATAGAGACTGTGACTGTGCAGTAGTAACCATTTAGATGACTTTCATATTCAGTTGTGCCTTTATTTTTGAGATAAAGTCCTTGAACTCAGGCTGGCCTTAAACTTACATTAATTTTAAGTCCAGTTATCAGCTAAAGGTGTGGCTCATTTATAGAAATTGGACATAACTATACTGTGTTATGAAGGAGTAGAAAAAAAGGGCGTCTGTTTCCTTTGGAGTCTACCATTATCCTTATGTTTTCATTATTGACATTTGGATACCAAATCATAAATGTAGCATGAGGATTTACTGTGGAATGTAATTTGAAATTTAAATGATAGTTTGCCTGCAGTCTTTCAGGTCATAGTCCTGGGAATTTATGGTCACTTGTACAAATTTAGTTATGTCAATAGTGTTGCAATCTGGAAATTTAGGTTAGATGGGAATTTTTAGTCTTGCTTTCATTAATTATTTTTAGGAATGGTGAAGCTTATTGAATGATCATGGCTCATTATCAGTATTCATTCCCTGGTTCTTTCTGGTCAGATATGTTATACAAAAGAATGCCTCTTGGGTCTTGTTTAATCTACTCCTTTTTCATATTAGTATTTTTTTTCTTTGTATATGAGAACACCAAGGGCCATGACAGTGTTTCTTGTTGATGACACTCTGAAGTCCTTTTTTGGTGCTGGAAACATGTATCCAATTTTGAGCATGTATTTTACCTTGAGTCTATTAATAAAACTTTTTATTCAAAGGTCTTTATTAAGAATTTAATGAAATAGCACGTGAAAATTAAAATTTTAAAGTTTTGTGACCCCTGC